AGAGACCGAGGGACACAGAGACCGAGGGACACACAGACTGAGGGACAGACAGACTGAGGGACACACAGACCGAGGGACAGACAGACCGAGGGACACACAGACCGAGGGACACACAGACCGAGGGACACAGAGACCGAGGGACAGACAGATAATTGAGGCCGCAGTGGCCTGGAGAGGTGACATCCTGGAACCTGTGGCAACTGTGCTAGGGGGAGGGACTGCGGCATGGAAAGGTTACCAATTGTATTAGGGTCCGGGATCCTTGCAGAGAAAAATTGCTAGATTATCTTAGAAAAACAATGTATTATGATTCAACCCAGCCAAGTGTGACTCCGTTTACCTCCCCATTCATACTTGTAGACTTTGTGTGAACCCTGCCAGTGCCAGGAAATGCTTTGTAGTGTTGCGGATAAAAGGCTTTGCTGTACCCTCGGTGGGCACTACAAGCTGCGAGGCTCCCAGAAGCGGGAGGGACGCGCTGTAGTCAGCTGGCCAGCTTAATAAAGGCTCCTAAACTTAAATTCTGAGTCAGTGGTCTATCTCGCTGATTGAACCTATAACAGCCACTGTGCTGGTTCCTTTTATCCTCCTGGAGGTACATTCTCAGTGGTTTTTGACTCCAGAACCCTGGATTCCATTTCCACAGGCAGCACTTACTTCATGGTGACTCTGCCCAACACCCAAGACCTGTCTGTACATCCATTCACACAGCAGTTGTTTGGAAAGTGATCTCAAACTTATTCTATATAGTTATGATATGCATGAAAAATAAATCAGAGCCAGTAGTTATCTGTGTGATGTATCATACATTTGTATTATACATACATTTTATTTTAGAAAATGACATTTCTTGGACAAAGTTGCCTTCCTAAGTGTAATTAAATGAGCATGTTAAAAACTTTCTAAGTGTGAATGTTTTGCTTGGGAAATGTTTAGCAACTTGGTAAGTATTACTGTGTATCGCTGCCCAAGGAACTGTTGGGGGTCATGTGTTGTCACCAAAGCAGAATGTTTGCTAAGTTACTGGTCCCCTTGTAGAGACAGCCTGCATGGTTTAACCTTCATTCTGTGTTATGAAGCAATAGGCAGAAGGTAGAAGTAGGCTTGTACTGATGCCACACCTCCCACTTGCTGTGATGATGGAAGCAGGCCTGATGCTCCAAGCAGCATGAGAACACCAGCAAGGTAAAGGCTCTCATCCCCCTGGCATGTAATCTACCGAGCCAGGGCCGCATTGTCTTGTAGTAAACAGGTCATCCAAATAGCAACACACAGCCCAGCAAGCGAGGCTCAATGATTGAGTGTTGACCTATGAACCAACAAGAGACCTTGATTCCTGGTAAGGGCACGCACATCACCTGATTGTTTCTCTTTGTCTGCCTGTCCCTCTCTGTCTCAGATCAAGAACAACAGATTAAAAATAAAACTGGAAACTGTGAAATCTCCTCCTATTCTCCCCCCAAAAGGTATACTATTTTACTGAGAACACCCACCACTTGTCTTCCTTAGTCATCGTGAGAATTCCAGTTCGTGAATGTTCACAGTATCTCACTTTAAACCCTGTGTGCACATATTCACCCAAACAGCTGAGCATCCCATCCTGGAGAATTTTCCATTTCCTTCCAAAGGAAGTGAGATGTCTCACACTGGAAATGGAAAGAAATGGTAGAGAAAGCCGGGCATGAAGAGAAAGGCTAATCATTGCAACCTGGAAAAGATGTATTCAACAAATCAAGGTGTGACAATTCAAACCAGAACCTTCCTGTGTGTGGAGGTTTGGGCACAGGGGACACCAACATTTTTAATGTGAATGAGGACTTGATTGTGCAAAGCTTTCCTTCACCCCCTGAGAGATGCTGACCAGAGGTGCTGAGCCACTT